TCGTTGTTTAGCATAAACTCGAGTATCGGTAAATGACCGTTTCCAGCAGCATTCGTGACTGCTTCGGAAGGTACTTCACAACCTGAAAAATGGGTAAAAAGCCACTCCATTGTCTTCGAATCACCTCGAGATGCTGCAATTTGGGTCGCTTTGTGGAATTGCCACTGATAGTAATGGTCTTCCGATCGTAGATAGTTGCACAGAGTCCATCCCGGAATCCTACCTGATACACTGGTTGTGCTACAGTCCCAAATCCAGTCGAGTAAAGTGGTAGACCCCAATTTACACGCTTCAGTTAGTGAGAGGTTGGAAGATGGACCTAAGAAGCTGGAGACAAGTGGCCCGATATGTGGTAGACTTGCCACATCTGGATGTCGTCGTAAGACGAACTCCACTACCCGGAGCTGGAAAAGTGGCATTTGTTGCTTGTCACTAATGGCAAGAGAGAATGTGACAACCAGCCAATTTTACACATTCGAAAATGATTGGCTAACGGTTATTTTAACCAATCATATGCAGAAAGTATGCAAATCGCTTTTTTGTTTTGCAAGAGCGAGTTCCAAACAAACAAAAGTGGCGCTGACTGGACTTAACAGATACTACATATAACAAGAGCCAGCAACCTCTTAGGAGTAACACCATTCTGATGGTCTGCGAGGGTACGGATTACAATCGGGTAGTTGGCTGTGGTGAGATCGAAGGACGTTGCCCGTTCAACACTCGCCAGAAATACAGCAGCAACAAGGAGCGCGACCGAGTAGAGAGGCATCATAGCTTGTGCTTGATGATCAAGGTAACAACAACAAGTGTGTATATCAAAGTGACATTTACTTCGCAATTCTGCATATTTTGTAATATTAGTACCACGTAATTTAGGTGTGGGCACCCTGTCAAATCTCAATATTTATCATTGATTGATGTCGAAAGAGCTGTAGGGTTATCCTACAGTACTGCATCCGCGTAAACGGGATGTATTAAAGTCTGTTCGCGTTGCGATCTTCATCTCTAATTTGTACTCGGTGTCTCCATCTCTAGATTTCTTTTCAGCCAATAGAACGATCCCGCTGTGTTACTTAACCAATAAAAACCTTTATCACTAATCAACGTCGTGAACCGAGCATTCCTGTCTCAGTTCGTACTTGTGAATGATCGCGAACAGTACAACGCGGCTATCTATCACCACATTCCACGAGCGTTCTTTACTGTGCTACTGAAACCCGAAGTCTTCGCAATTCTGGAAATGTAACAACTATTTTCGCCGAACTGCGGTTTTTTTGTGTTAAGCATTTATTTTGTGAGCTACGGTAATTACCAGCGCCTTTATGGTCATTTGGAGCACCTTTAATGGGTTAAAGGCGTGCATGATAATCAAAGCATATGGATATCCACATGTAATAAAGGTGCAGGAACGCGAGTCTCCATCTCCAGCGAACACACTCTTACTGTACTAGAATAGCACACAGGCAAAGAGTACTGCACCTCGTGTTCGCTGGGGTGGACCTTATAGGATTTGCAAACACATCAGGTTTTAGCATGCAAATCGGACGGTACTTAAGAATTTGGCAAGAAGGTCATTATATCCGGAAGTTCATCAAATAAACGGGTTGCAGTACTGTTCCATTTCCTGGTCAAATTGCCAGTTTTACCAGCCATCGGACAAAATGGCGTGAAAAATGCTTTCTGTGAGCGGGAAACGTCAAGTCCTCTCCTGTATTTCCATCAAAACGCTGAACGAGACGGCCAGCACACATATAAAGCCGTATTATATTTCTTTCTTGGGCTCAGCAGCCCTCCTTATTGCTAAAAACAAATACAGTAAAGCGTACCTAAACGAGAAAATATCACAAAATATCATCTGGTATCTACTACTCCTTCCATTACTGAGCTAATATACAAAATATAGTGGTAGCTTGAAAATTTAGAACTGATACTGATATTTCGAGAAAAGTAGTACTCTTGATATCAGAAATATCAAACGACATATTAGTTAGATTGGGCGCCTGCCAAAACATACTTATTCCCGTATTATGTCGGACTGCGAGACCAAGCCGCGTCAACAAGTGGCACTGTAATCGACCGCATCATCAACGGCACTGCATGTGCAAGCAGGGACAGAGCACGCCCTCCAATGGTAAAGAACAAGAATGGTAAAAACCACCGCTTAATAGGACTCACTTCGCAACTTACATTCAAGTGCGTAATATCATACATACCTTGGAACTTCGTGCAGGTGGTGAGCACTGATGCATACCGATAAATTGGCGGTTAGAACATTCGCCGTATGCGCTGCATACAGCAAACTATTATTCTCATATTGCCCTCATAGCTGATGCCGGCGTACTGATCATACGAGTAAAATAACCCCAGCAACAATGGAGGCAATAACTCAACTCAACTAGAGCTTCGCGTAGGCTGAGATAGTGTTTTTTTTATTCTTACGGAATGACATGGCGTCCTCAGATTCAAAATCTCTTAAGCGCCAGCTTCAAGCTTCGATGTGAGTTAGTATTTACAGTGTAGGATAAGAACAGTACCTCAAAACAGATCGCAACTTGCCGATACACTAGCCGGGGTTAGAAGGTGTAATTTCTATACCAAAATAAGACAGTTTCCAATATTAATTTAGACCTTCAGAACATCTCCTGCGCTAAATACCTGATACAAATTTGATGAGCTGTATTCATTTTCAGGAGCAGATAGTGCTTCAGCTGCATTTACGGGTTTGTGTGTGTGAATCTGACCAAGAATTTCAATAGTGCGCATTATTGCAACGCGTTGTACAAAGTACACCTGGCCAATACAGTGGCCTGCCGTAGTAACGAATCCATATTGCTACGGAAAATTTGTTGGGTTTCTCGACATTTAGTCGCCACAGCGATCGTTAAGGCTGCTGCTGACCGTGGTATTGGGTGGAATCAGCCGTCTAAACCGCAACAAATTCAAATTCAAAGACAGTTAGGCGGCAACTTCCTCTATATTATCGGTAATTCATAGTCGTAAGTTGTTGTTGGACCACGAGCAATGTAGTCCCAGAGCAAGCGTCGCATGCTGATCTGCAGCCATGGTATGTAAAAAAAAAAAAAAGATCACCCAGAATGCCATTCATTCTCGCTGTGTTTCACCTCATTTACATCTGATTCGTACTTGTATACTTATAAATATTAGTAGTACTACGTGGATCTTGAAAAGATATCATCGATGTAATTAGCAATGCAGAATATGAGGCTACTGATAATACTATAGACAGTCTTTGAATTAAGACAAGTTGGCATATGAACCGCATATGCTCTGAGCTCACGTACCAGCTTGTCAAATTACCCAATTCGCAATGAGGAGGGCATGAGTTGCGAGAGCAAAGACCATGAGAAGGTAGAGAAGGTATTAATAGTGAGTAGGGTAGTTCAATGATCAGAGACGGATTGGATGAATACCGTAAATTACGACGCGTAATCAACCGGACACTTAAAATGCAACATAAGAGGAGCACAAGTCATAATCGGATCGAGTACACGTCCATTGTCAGCCATCTCACAACAGATTCATCGCAGTCAGTGACAAGTTCATTTGAGAGGCAGCCAAGCATGCTTAACTGCAACCGACGACCTCTGACTGATAGTCTGGTTGGTCCTGTCCAGCCCCGATTATTAGCGTTGCGACACCGTACCCACAGCAAGTATGTCGACCCCACTACTCACTCT